GACGAAATTGAACAACAGATTGGATGGAACCCCATGGTCACAAAAACCTGCCATTCTGTGATGGGAACCGGTAACCTATAGTCCGGGACTTGGAGTGGCGTACGACATAAGGCTCCGCTAGGTAAGGCGTGGTATTGAACCGTACGATAGCAAAGTTGCCTACCATCAAATTTGGGTGGCGATGGTAGAGTTTGAACCCCGGACCATGGGATCGAAAGCGCACCGATGATCGCGACTAAACCATTGCGCAACCAGCACACAATTGGTTCAGTAAAGTATCAAAAACTACGCAAACGCCCCCAACGCAAAGCGGCGGTCATCACAAGCACGAATACTCTGAATGAACTGTGATAGCGCTGGATGCACTCGAAATCACAGGAAAGTGAAAGATATAGTTCTATCGAACTTAAGCGAAACGGAAAAACACTGAGGATCAGACTAGATGAGAAAATAAAGAATTACGCTTTAGACCACAGGAGAAGTGAACAGGTGGTGATGGTTTAGTGGTTCAGTCGCTATCACCGATGTGTTTTTGATCCTATTGGTTCAAGGTTCGAACCCCGCCACCGCCACACAACTTGAGTAGTAAAGCAGCTTTGCGGTCGTGCGATTCAATACCACGCCTGACCAAAAGAAGCCTTATGTGATTCACTAATCCAAGTCCCGGGGCTTAAGTTACCGGTTTCCAATACTGAATATAAGGTTTTTATGACTTTGGATTCTACCCAGCCCGCTGTTCATCACACAAGTAGACACGACGAATCCCCGTTTGAAATTCAATCAAATCCTCCATTACCCACAAGAAATAAGCAATCAAGTTGTGAATGTTGCCAACAAAGTCATAACCCTGGAGGCTAGTGCTGAAATGAGCAGGGTCTGTGACCCGCAACAAGCTCGCAAAGAATGGGTTGTTCTATATCGTGTAAATGGAAAATGAAAAACAGTCTGGTTAGCTGCTCGGTGGCGTAATGGATAGCATACTTGCGTTTCGCCCGTGAAGTCCCGGGTTCGATGGATTTGCACTGCTACTGATGAGACCCCACCAGGTCGAAACAGTCTCCTAGCTTTTCAGTTCACGCTTCATTTGCCATAGACACGACGAATTTCCATTTGAAATTCAAACAAATCCTTCATTACGCAAATGAAATAAAAAGAAGTTTGACTAACACAGGATAAAGTCTGGTGGTACACGCACAACACGTCGGGAGGGGGTGACGTTTTAACCTGTTAGCAAATCCAAAGAGAACAATCATCTGTTTTTTGCTGTATCTTTTAATGTCAAGAACCGACAGGGCACGATCGTTTGGAACTGAGCACCCCATTGAATGAGGAAAATTTTCAAACTGCCGCCAATCAGTTCCTCATCTCGAGTATCCAAGTTATTTGATAATTTTAACAAGGCTTCCTCGATCTGAGGTGGGTGCCGGGCATGGAAGCGATAGACACAATTGCTAGGTTTGCATCAAATTGGATAAGTTAGAAACGTAGCTGTAAAGAATATCGGTTTGCCTAAGCGGGTCAGCGCATTTTTCACCCGTCCACTAGTAGTATACATTCGCCCACCCACACAGTACGCCATCCAGGTATGAAATCCATGGCCACAACGTGATAGCCGATTGGAATGCCGGCGTCAGTCATTCTCAGTCAGAGTGTGTTCCATCTGGAACTCTCTCCCATCCTACGTTGTCTGTGCTCCAAGCATTCAGTCTTTCAAACTGAGACTTGATGAAGCATAAGCACACTTTACATTCCCAAATATGTGAAGCTGCGTACAGTAATGGAAGAAGCACGTTTTATGTGACATTTTACACAAGGAATTGTATGTATCACTGTGTTTTAACCACCACACGAACCTATGGGATGAGAAAAGCATAAGCTTGTATGTTATTCCCATAACAAATCTATGATCTTTGTTTATGGAATAGCCAAATGAACTATAGAATTTACAGCACAATTTGGGTAATTTTAACGCAATCTGGTGCAATGAAAAGCTGTGAACACCTCTTGACGAGATCTAGAAACCAGGGGGGTTTAATTTCCACCTTGCACACAGCTTTGATGTGACTCTCCACGAACCGTAGTGAAAATAGGTTCCGCGAACGATAACAAAACACGAAGAAAAGAAAGTCACGTGCTTACCCAAATACGAGGCGATCAGATGACACGCGTGTAAAGTCAATGCCCGGTGCTGATTGCAATCGATCAGGAGGGCTGTGTGATTGGACGAGTCCACAGTTGGCGGATAGGTCGGAGTAGTAGTACTGGTGATTGTTTGGCTACCGGAACTACTACTAGAACAATTGTACTCTGGACCGAACAGATTGAACAATACGCGTAACAAACGATCACGCACCGCGGACACGGAATGCAAGCAGATCAATTGGATTAACAATGGCAGTATGAGCTGTCACGAGTGAGAGGAAGAGAGTGAGAATAGGACTTCTTTTGATCAATGTTTATCGAATGCGGTTTGAGCACAACAGCTCCATGGAGAACTTAAATGTGCGAGGAAAAACGGAACGAGATATCTAGAATTGGATGGACGACCACTCACTAAATCTGGACCTGATATCATCTTTATCATAGACTTTATGAATGTGCTGGTAACACTTCGGACGAAGTTGAAAACAAACGAAGAAATGTAAGGGGATCTAGGCCCACAATTGTGGTGACGGAAATCCCGGGGGAAGGGGGGAGTTCACCATAGGCCCGGAAATTGGCTAACTTTGAAAATAAAGTATGTGGTGGAGCAAAATGGACACCTCAGTAAACAGTTTCACAAGGCAAGACAATTAAAGGATTCGAAAACCCTTCTAATATCCAGAAATACGAAACACTGGGGTCTCCTTTATCCATCGTATCAAGATCGAAAGAATACATACAGGTCTAATCGAAACTGAAGCAACGGGTCCCTGTGAAACATTTGAGGGTTCATATAGGCAACAACATTTATACTGAAGTAAATATTTTTTCAAATTACAATAAACAAGCCTTGCTGAGTCTTTAGAGCAGTGATCTTCGTGATTTGTTTACATTCAGCAGATGGATTGGTTCAGAATGTAGCGGATATTCTCGTTTCATCAGCAGTTGTGGACCTAGATCATGGACCATCCTATAAACCATGCTGTTGTTAACGTGAAAGCATTGGTAAGATTTGATAAAGAAAATCCGAGTTTGTGTGCTCTTGTAATTCTATTTCTGTCCTCTTCACTGAGGTAATGAGAACTTTTGGTTTCGAGCGCTGCTGGATTCATTATGGTGATAACAATATGAACGTTCATAGCTGCGCACAAAAAATGACCTTGATTTCAAGGTTGACTTAGATAAAAATGGGATTTGTCGTATTCAGTGAGTTAGCTAACAAACATAGATTATTATTATTATTATTATTAAGAAACCTTATTTAATGCAATTTCTTCGGGTAGTGAACGAAGTTCATTTGGTTATCCGATAGAGTTCCTATTATGCACATTATATCGGATAAAATAATGCCTCGTAATAAATAACCGAGATGGTAAGGGTTCATGGAAATAATTTGGGATAATTCTTGAGTCACTCCATTGTATTTTCATACATGATAAAGTGTACAATATTCATGTTGAAATTATTATTTGATCTTGGCGACCAAGGTCACTCACGTTTAATTAACAATCACGCAGCCTAGAAACTAAGTAGATAGAAGTAAACAAGGGATAACTTATTGCCCATACCTAAAACGTTAATACAGGTGATAAATATAATGGAAGTGAATTTAGTCAGAAAGGAAATATTTTAGTGCATCACAATCGATCACGACTGTAGATGCTCACTTAGAATCCGTTCACCAACCATCATCACAAGATGAAGTGCGTGCCTGTATGAGTTTGTGAACCATACAGGATCGCTCGTCCGCATAGCCGAATACGCAATAGGGGTGAAGTGCCAAGACTGACTGAGCGCTCGTGTCTGCGCTAGATGGAAAATCGATAGTCGACCCCGTGCTGTCCGGTTTGATGAGATAACATTCACAGACCAAACTGTTGTGGCTACTTAGTCGTGTGCGTTCAGTGCAGTTCAATTGTGACAAACATTAATCTTGCATTTTCATGCACCAGTATTGTTTTCATTTTCAGTGTTACTTCCTTTTATTGAATATACAAAAAGATACAATTTTCAGGCAGAGGATTAGCTGTCAATCAAACGGGGAACGATAGACGGCGGTGGTGGTGGGATTCGAACACACGCCCCCCTCCGAGGTGATCATTTGATGACGTAGCCAAAGGGGCCACCATCGCCCGTTCATGGCTATCTTTTAGCTTCCTATTTGAAAAAAACAGCAAAATTAAGATTGAAATTTTGAGAGCACATTTAAAAGAGCTAGAAAATTACCAAGGACTAAGGCTGCACGATGCGTCACTCAACCATATCACTCAGTGTGTCTCGAACTGCCATGATCTCGGGGTCCTCATCCAAGGAGCCTAACAGTGCCTATGTGACCCATTATCCTGGTTAGGGCTTTCATACCTTTATGTCAGGTCTTCGTTTCACCGCCCTCAACCTTTTTCCAATCGTTACCTGTCTCGGCAAATATCGCTCGCCGTGGCAACCTATTTGGTGACATGCGCAGCACAAGTCTCAAACAGTGTAATCTATGTGGTCGACCGCGATTACCTAAAACTCAGCGCCTAACCTCAGCATTGTTTGCCTGGTTTTCCCGCCAGACTCGTGCAATGCGACGTAGACAGCAATGTTCAAACACCGACAATCTATATTTATCCTGTTCCCTTAATATGTCCGTGTGTATGCGTCGACCAATTGCTGCATAAAATGAAGGACGAATCCTTAAGGAACCTCTCGTTAAATGAAATGCTCGATCGACGGACAAAGTAGTGGTAGCTGGTGAACTCAAGGCCCACATTTCGATCCCTGAAGGAGTTTCGAAGGTGCCCAGGTGACACGAATTCATTTCCAGCAAACCCGTTGGAAAATGGAGATGACCGACTTCCAGGTTACACAAACCAAGGGTTGCTTATTACGAGCATCAACCCACCACCAACTCTTGTTAGCGATTGACTCAAACGGATCAAACACTGGGATGTGTGATCGTTAGCAAGGAATCAAAGAAGAGGACCGCTAACACTGATGAACACCACGGAGGAACGGACTACTCAACGCTGATAAACAATCGCAAGAACATCACCATAAACGGGCACTCACAGCACAATGAATGGGAGGATTACAAAAATGGCATACGAAGCTATGGTAATTGTAGTAATAGCAATATGCACTGATCACGAAGTACGAAATCATGTACGCACCGGACTACACTGGCACTGGCACGCAGTATCCGATGTAACCGAGACGCGAGGAAAAGGTCACAGCAGTAGTTGTTCGTTTATTGAAATAAATAAGAGGGATTAAACAATTGTACGAAACAAGCTCATTGGTCATCCGGACCTCTACCAATCGCTTTCCAGTATTTATGGCGCCGTTCTGCTTCTCTCTGGCCGCAGGGGTTTTCATTAGCTGGCATAATCGATCTATGGTATGTAGTCCAGAAGCTGTGGCACGCACGCGCTTTACTGACGTCACCCGTGAAGCTTGATTGATCACAGATGTCCTAAAGCTGTAACGCGTCGCTCTATGGTATGCATCATACCGTACGCTGGGATCACCACAGAAGCACCACTATCTCTCTCATCCATCGCCTCTCAGTTCTATCATTAGTCTAATGGAGGCTATTAAAATGTTAATAAAAAACAGCTTGGATTCGGGAACCCAATCGAAGCACAAACGACAGATCTCCTCAACCACGGCGGCTTCGTGAAACGACGGCAGTATCATTCCTCCGATGCCAAATAGCAACGATCGCACGAATTCCCAAGTGGCCAGCTCGTTAAGAGTCTGGGTAATGATAGCGAGATCACAGTGAGTATCAAGATCTTTGGAGAGACAGAGACAGACCGAACCTATTCGTAACAAATGCAATCGTTCTCCTCCAGATCGGAGTAACGATTCACGAACATTCAATGAGACAATACAGCAGATCGGCGACACTGACTCACATTCGGCAACGCAACCTTGAGAGACATGAAAAACATTTTAGGACGCGCCAACATCAACAGTGTAGTTTCAAACTAGGCAACGACCGTTAGGTTATACGAGTCCCATCATTTGAAATGAGGTTATTCAGTTGCCTAAAAAGATATGAGATCATGGCAGTGGTCATTGAGGTGAATTGGGCACCTTGGACGTTTGACACCGTCCGAAGGGTGTATGGTTCGATGAACTGGACACCGACAACCAATGGATTACGGTCTCCACACACCGCCAAGCTGCCTTTCGAGTCAGGCTTTGGTTAGCCGAAGGCTCCGGTTGTGGATTACTCAAGAAAATTCACCTGCCTTGGACTGGGCAATCTGGCAGTATTCAGATCACATGCAGACCCGGCAACGTTTTTCTTCTTTTTTTATAGATTTCAGTTTGTTTCAGTTTGAACAACTATTAACCACTCATGGTCGTACGCTGGTTTTGGTTGCTGTCTTTTGGCTGTCCATTTGGATGAAGAATAGGAGAAAAACAAGAAAGCTTCACAATAGAATCGAACAGAAAATGGAGAAGTTCAGTGGGTTAAGGTTGCAAAGAGATTGCGAAGATGCACGAAGGCCACTGGTTGCGACACCCAGCCATTTTACTCAGTGTCTCTAACCACCGGTTACGATCATCCCGAGGTCCACAGCCAGGGAGCCTAACAGGACATATGTGACCCAGTCTCCCGGTTAGGGTTTTCATACCCTCGTGCCAGGTCTTAGCTTGACCACCCTTGGCTTTTTTCCACTCGGTGTCTGCTTCGGCGAACATCACTCGCCGTGGTAACCTATCTGGTGATATGCGTAACACATGTCCCAACCAGCGTAACCTATGAAAGTCGACCACTTGCTCCAGTGGGCGACCGTATTTACCCAAAACTCTGTCCCTAACCTCAGCATTGCTCATCCGGCTATAGATTATAGATTTATAGATTATTGCACCATGATTTGTTTGGCATACAGTCTGGCCTCAGACGGGTGTAAAACTAAATATTAAAAACATTTGCCCGTTTTACCTGGATATTACGGTTCATGATTTTCGCATATTTCGATTACCTTCGAAATGATTACGTCGTCCTCAATGGGATTATGATGCATCGCGAGAGGCATATCAGTTAGTTGTTTTAAAGTTTGTTTACATCAGACAGAAAGAAAAATGTGAAAAATCGATACGGAAAGTAAACGAGGATTCACCCAATCAATTGGTCCGTTAGCAAATCGGGTTGAGCGAATGTAAATTCTCAAAACACAACAGGGTCCAACAAATACCGTACACAGTTGCACAGCGACCTTGATTTACATCAAAGGATACTACATGTGCTAGGACAGTTAAATGTTTAACCAGACAACCAAGTGCATCAGAGCAAGCAGACACAGGAGCAATGAGTGCAGGAGACGAAGAAGATAGTTTCAATTGTTTTACGATTAGGTACAATTCTGATGAGTGCGTTACAAATCGATTGTCCTGTTCAGCACTTTGCCTGCATCTATGTGCCATTGGAAACGTCTGCAACGA